AATTTCAGTTGTGTTCTTGACCTCTCCAAGTGTCCTTTCATTCAGGGCAAAATGTGGTTTGCTCAGCCCAAGGATGCTGGTTTTTCATCTATCCACAATATCAATAGTCATTTGGCCAGCCTCTCCATTGTTGGAAACACGATCCCCACTCCTGACCCCGCTATTAAGGAGAAAGCTTTATGTGCTCCGGATAACTTGAATGCAAGTATTGAAAATCAGGGGCAGATTAAGATGTACATCAATGAAGTGTGTCGGGAGACTGTGTCACATTGCTGCAACTCGTTTCTGCAGCAGGCCGGATTAAATTTGTTAATAAGCATGACAGTTATTAATAACATGCTTGCCAAGTCCGTTTCAGACTTGAAGTTTCCTTTGATAGCAGAGGGAAGTGGATGTGCTGAGCTTCAGGTTTTGAAACTGTTGATGGGTTTGTCCGAAAAGCCAGTCTTGGCAGGGGAATTGCTGGGTGCCCAAATGCTGCTCTCATTCATGTCCCTCTTTATGAGGAACGGAAACAGACAGGTTCTCCTGGACACCCTGGCCTCTTAAATGGCCATCTCGAACAGAATGGGACTGAATCTGCCCAAAACCCTTCTGGTGAACACACACATGTGTTCTCACTCAAAGAATCTGCAGTGGGTGCTGTTGAAGATCCAGTCTTAGCCCATCACCACATCACGGGGTGAAAGTTACACTCGCTAAATCGAGGACCACATTCCTATTGGCCAGGCAGGGGTTCCCACAGGGCTTGGAGTAACTTCTTGGTTTTGCAGTCTGCAGGCAATGTGCATTGTCAGTCACTCCCTTGTGGCCTTCTTCCTGTGGTAAAGGGATCATTCCAGCTGCCAGCTGTGGATACAGAACATCCTATTATAGCATCATGAGGGATGCCCTGCCCGTGGTGGTCTCCCTGTCTAAGCAGGACCATTTTGTGGAGACCAGACACATATCGGAGCTTGTGCTGAAAATGCTTTTGCTGCCGCCTAGGTTGAATTCTTTCTCATTTACTGCTTCTTCTTTGCGAGCTGATGGATGGTGAACCTATTCATCAAAAATGTACACCCCCCTTTTGTGTGCTGTACTGACTTAACCTTACCCACCCAAACCTACCATTTGTATGTATCATCAATAAAGGTGTGTGCTTTGATTGGCAAAAGCGAGACATGGAACTTACCCTTGAGTTTACAGTCTACATGAAGAGGAAGACAAAAATACGCGACCAACCGACACCAACCCACGCTAACTAACTGGGGGCCTTTGCTCCCTGACAAATGCATGCTTATCAGTGCTCACAGGAGGCGGGGTAGAGGTGGGCTGCAGTGCTCAGGATAAGCCTCAAGAAGGGCCTGGAGGGCTGGGGGTGGGAGCAGGGGAGTGGAGGTGGGGTTAGTGGAATCAGGATGGAGTGTTGGGAGGACTGAAAGAGACAACACTTTTGAAGCAGGTGGCACAGTGCCTGGCACCTGGAGCAGAGAAATCCCTCGACGAAGGTGTCTTTCCTTGACTGCCAGCCTAAATAGGAAGGTCAGTATCCTTGGGGTGTGTGTACACGTCCTTGGGGACCACTGGACAACCCATCCCTGCGCATGTCACGGACTAGTATAGCAGTGATGGTTGCCGCTCTCCGAGTGCCCACTTTGTATAGTTCCGTCTCTCCTGCAAAGCGGCTGTTAAACCTACCTCCAGGCCCCCTCCCTCCCTTGGGACCCCAAGCCCAGATTCCTGGCAGAGCGAGAAGTGTTGGCCTCTGCTTCCTCTGGGGGAACCTCCTTTCTGCCCTTTCCCTGGTACCTTCGGTGAAACCCAAGAAGGGGCCAACAGAGCCTTCCATGAACTCCCCATTGGGGTGGTAGGGCAGATGTTGAGGGTGGTGGCAGGGTATGACAGGTCCATGGGGAGACATCTCTGTCGCCTCCATCCAAGCTCCTGGCATCCCTAGGAGGAAAGGAGGAACCCAGCCCTGTGCACTGAACCACTCCGTGGATCTGGGCAAGTCACGCTGCTGCCCCTCTCAATACTGCCAGACCCCACCCAGCAGCACCTTGGCCCCTGCATCACCAAAGCCAGGTTCTCTGACAGCTATTGATGTGTCAAGCGATGGTCCTCTTCCTCAGAGCCCTGGCCAACAGGCTCAACAAGAAGCTTCCCTTGGGCAGAGCTGCTTCTGTGCCTGGTGCCCTCTCCTGGTCTCCATGGGATGCTGCTCTGGGCCACTGTGCCCTGCACATCAGCACTCTGCGCATGCTCTGCTTTCGGACTGCTCTCCTCTGCACAGAGCACAGTTTTACTTTTTTTCCCTTCTCCCGGAGTTTGGGTTGCAGGTAGATTACAACTCTAAGACTTGTATCCATCCTCCCTGTGCTTTGGCCTGACTAGCAGGCACCGGCACCTGCCAGGTGCCCCAGAATCTTCCAACATGCAATGGAGACACTGCTTCTTCCCAGGCACTGGCACCTTGGATGGCCAGCATGTGACTTGTGGTTGCTGTGACACCACGCCCCAGTAGGGCTCACCCCCCCCCCCCCCCCAGGAACTCTATTCCTCTGCTGGCTGCTGGGCCCTGCCACGTTGCTTAAGAGTTGCTAATGCGACCACCCCTTTCTCCCAAACCAGCCTCAGGTGGACTGGGCAATCTATTTCCCAAGTAGAATGGCCGTGCAGACAGCGCCCACACCCACTTGTCCCAGTGGAGCCTGCTTGGCCAATGCTGTCTTCAGTGACACCCTCATGCTCATTCTCTTTAATCTCAGCACAAAGGCAGAAAAGATTTTCTCCTTCCTCCTGGCTTGGGGCCCCAAGTTAACACATGCCTCCCTTCTCCTCTTTGCTCTGCCAAATCAACAGTCGAGTGCTGCCACAGGCACTTGTCCTCCATCTCCAAGGCAGGCACTTGGCATTTTTAGGCCACGGCTGACTTCTAACTCAGGGAGGGCCTTGGAGGCTTTCTGCCCATCTCCTGAGCAACTTTCTGTCCCTGGGAAGCCTGTTGGCATCGAAGGGTCTCCATGGTGTGGTTTTGGCCCAACTCAAGAGCCTCCTCTGCGTCTGCTGGCACTGCCCTCCAGAAAACACTCCTTGTGTCTGGAAGCTCAGGCCTCTGGTCTGCCCTTCATCCCTTGGTTGGTTGCTGTGCCAGAGCAGGAGCCCTAGAGGCAGTGGAGGGGACTCAGGAGCATGCCTGCCACTCAGGGCCTGATTAAGACATACAGAGGCTTTCAGCACCAGAAAGACCATGGTGCCCCCTCTCATACCTAATTCAGAATGAAACAGCATGGGACCACCGGGCACCAAACTTGCCTACCTGCCTGCTGCAACTAACAGATTCTTTCTGGGCTTCCCCATGGGAAATATTTGATAAGGTCATCGATGCTTGAGATTGTCACACTCTGTGGGGAAGAGCCTTGCCTTGATGGGGCCCACCCCAGCCTTGCCTGCCTCTTGGCTAAATCTGGAACTGCCCCCACAGACTGCCTTCCAGCTCCCAAAAAGCCCTGGTTCTGCTTCTTATTCATCTCATGATTACGTCTACGTTTGGTGCCTGTGGGTACTGGCTTGGACACTAGCTCCCAGTGCCCTCCCCAGCTTGCTACCTCTCCTGGGAAGTTTGTGATTTGACCTCCCCCCCGCCCCCATTAAGTGGCTCCTGAGGTTGCAGACATCCAGCTTCCCAGCGGATGCCTCCAGTCTCAAAGTCTGCATCCTTCCCCAGGGCCCTATGTGCCACTCTCAAAGCAGTTTCAACCATAATCCCCTCACCTTGATGTGCCACCCACAGATAGGCACAGCCCTCACCAAATCAATCTCTAAGCCGCCACAGCACCATTCAGCTTAGAGTTTGACAACTGTGGCTAGTGCTGGCTCCAGGCTCCTTTCCGGGGGCGGGCCACCAGTTGGTCTAAGATGCAGATGGGTGTTACACCACAGTCCAGGACAGTCCTGCAGAGGATTGGCCGGTCCCTTGTCTGCTACACATGCGGCATGCATCACCTCACACCCTGTCACTTCCCTCCTCTCTTGCTCTTGGCCTCCTGTTACCTGGAAGGCAGGCTTCTTTTCCCTCGTTGCCTCTTGTTTTTGTGTGTGGCTTAGGATGTCCTCCCTCATGCCCCAATTACAAAGAGTCTCCCATAGGGTTTCCTAATTCCTTCATACTTTTACACTTAAAGGGTCTCACAGATCTACTTGGAAGTTACCTTTGTGAAAGGTAGGAGGTGTGATCCAACTTGACTTCTTTCCCCAAAGGGGTAGCAAATTAACCCAGCACCATTTAGCACTCCATTCTCACGCTGCAGTGTGGCACATATGGGATCTTCATGCACCCAGCCGAGCATCCCCTCTGTGGCTTCCCGGTGGGAATTATGTCCTGAGGCACACCTTTCTCCCAGGAACTCCTAACTGACTCGGGGACCCTCAGCTCACTGGGGGGCCCTATGGCAGGTGGTGTGTGTGTTAGCAGGGAGGTATGTATTGGTGCTTGTGAGCAGGCCTCTGTCCCAGGTTCCTTCTCAGGACATATCCTGGCTCACAGGAAACATACGAACCCCGTCCCCCAGCCTACTTTAACAACACGGGAAAGTGGGGACTGGTTTCTTCCCTCACCAAAATTACTTTATTTGTGTGAGAGAAAAGCAAGTTCATTTTCTATGTTTAGATTTGCTGCACTTTGCACATGGTAGTCTTTTGCCACTGTTGAAGTATGCCTATTGTCACATGTTGCATTCATGGCTCAATAGTTTCTCTCAACACTGTCCTTGATTTTTTATTTTTATTGTGGTATATTTCATCAATCTGGAATTTTAACTAGTCTGTTCCTGTCAATTTTTGTATTGAACTGTGATATTTTTTTAGGAGTCTTCACATCCCACATTTACTAGAAAGCATTTGCCTATATTTCCTTATTTTCTTCAACATTTTTTTAGAGAGAGAGGGAGAGAACAAGTGGGGTGGAGTGGCAGAGAGAGAGGAGAGAGAGAGAGAGAGAGAGAGAGAGAGAGAGAGAGAGAGAGAAGTAGGCTTCCATGCCCAGTGCGTAACCTGACACAGGGCTTGATCACACGACCTGGTGATTATGACCTGAGCTGAAATCAAGAGTCAGATGCTGAACTGACTGAACCCCCCAGGCACCCTGCCTATATTTCCTTTTAATATAAATACAGTTTTTCTTTTTAGAGTTAAAGAAAGAACTTCTTTAGAGTTAGGTTCTTTTTTTTAACCTACTAGTAGCATATATTTGTAATGTGTGTGTGTTTTTGTACATGTAGTTTGAGGTAGACTTTGTATCTTAATTTTCTCTAAATGTATAATGAGTTACACTAATGTCATTCATTGCAGAATCCAATTTTTTCCCATACAGAATTAGGCAAGTATGCTCCAAATTCCCATGTTTAGAATATGAACATGGATTTGCATGCATTGTCTCCTTTTGTGGATCTTAACAAGCATGTAGTCTTCAGTCACTGGACCTTTGATTCTTCTTATCAGTAATTCACACTTAGCTCAATTGAGTAAATGACAAACACAGAATGATACATAAGGCGTAGCAATAAGTT